CCCCAAAACCCCAAAACCCCAAAACCCCAAAACCCCTTTTAATTATTAAATTATTGAAAATATTTTCTGCTTTTTGCTGGGAACTTAGTCAAAGTTTTAGCAAATTATAATTCCATTGGAGCTTGCCCATCCTCGATATCAAGAGGAACCACTGAAGTCTCCAGAACTTCTGTTGTGCCTTTAGGGAAGTTATATCCAACTGGATGAGTGAATAATTTCTTATTATCACTTTTATGTGATCTCTTGATTTTATGACCTTCTCTATTGATTACAACATAATCTACATTGGAGCCAGATCCAAGGTCGTTATAGATACCAGCTTCGATAGCTCTAGTAGCTAGGTCGATGGCTTCCTCTTCAGTCATGACTAGTTCTCCATCCTCTTCTCTGTATTCGTTTTCGATGATACCCATGGCTGCTAGAGATCCTGATCCTTGGGTGTGGTAAGGCATAGCGATTGTATGGCCATGAGGATCGATGCTCCATACTTGTGGTCCTTTAACATCGATTCCTCCAAGAATGATACCAGCTCCAATGTGTCCCATATAGTTGAATAAATGGCTTGAGAACTTAGTCACTGCAGTAGCAATTCTGTTCTGGCTACCAGTATTGAGCCTGTGGAGTTCAAGATCTCTCTTGATCATTTCAGTAACGTGGTCACAATCAGCAGCAGTTCCACAACCTGCACACCAGATGTTTGGAGCAAGGTAATGGAGTTTGAAACAGTTCTTGTCCCCGACGGTAGGTCCAGCTGTAGCTCTTGTATCTGCAGCCATTACGACTCCGTCTTTATAAGCAATACCTACGATAGTGGTTCCTGTACTTGTGGCTATTGGCTCTTTGCCAGTCTGTTTCTTGATCGCTTCATTTCTAAGTGTATTATCAAAGTTGAAGCCTCCTAGCTCAAGGTTGTCAATGTAAGGCAGTTCCATTTTGCTTAAGAATATTTAGATTTAATTATAAAATATCAACCAAATTATCTGAAAATGGGGTTTTGGGGTTTTGGGGTTTTGGGGTTTTGGGGTTTTGGGG